GTCAGCATTATTATCATAATCATCATCATCATCATCCAAGCCTGGCTTGGAAACTACAGTGAGCCTTTTCTGTGAATTTGCTAATTATTTTGTGACGTCAAAATTGTTGACGTTGTTATAAATCATGTTACTAAAAAAACAGATTTAGTTAGGAAATAAATAGCAACCAACAGAACATCATTTTCAGAGTCTTTTACATTTCTGTTTCATTTATCATAAAATACACTTATAATCTTAAATTCACAAATGCTCTCTCGACAACACGAATAGTTCAAACATTTGCGCTCGTCACTTTCATGATCTGAAGAAATTGTGGTTAAAGAATGCCTTGTTTACAATTTCCCATTAGGAAAAAAAGGTCACGCCTACAATTGTAATGCTTGGGGAAACACTGCCATCTATTGGTCATGCAAAAAAAAACAGGTTAGAGGGTTACCTATTGAAAATACATAGGAAAACATGCAAATGGCCTACATGTTAAGTAACAGAGCTCCTTGGGGTGTGTGCAACACATATTGCATGCACATTTCAGCCTTAAAAACAGCTCAGGACAGGTCTTGCTGCATGGCACGGTGGAACCAATGACAGTTTTATGTCTGTAAAGAGACATTAAATACACTGAGACCCAAACAGCCATGATTGTACTGCTTTTTAAACCCTTTATAAAGAAATGCAGGAGCTTCAAGTTAGAAGTGTTTGTTCAAAATTAGCAGTAATGGTTAATTTCAATAAGCCACAGTAAAGTAAGTTAGTTTAAAAGTCACTATGCAAATAAGCATTTGTCGCAGGCCACATCATATGGAAGTAGTCTTCAAATGAAGGGTGTAGTAATACTGTAAGAATAATCTAAGGATTACTGCAAAAATGAGCAGTTAACTGTAAAATAAGACTCTCCGCCCTGGCGGTGTGATTATACTTAATCCCTGGAGTTAGGTGTTTTGAATTTGCATATTTACACACACGTTCCAAGACAAAGGTAAAGGAAGAAGAGGAGGGTAACAGCGTGGAGGTAGTAGCCAAAATGTCTGCCGCACCTTTTATTGAAGCGTATGAAAGGAGCTGAAGGAAACCCACACCCTGTTTTCATTAGCCTCATGTCAACCACAGAGAAAGAGGGAGAGGGAGAGGGAGAGAGAGAAAGAGAGAGGCTGCATTTTCTTTCCTTTTTACCTATATGCCTCATATTACAGCATGCAGCTGGGAACCTAAGCCAGAAAGGACCTTTTTATGTTTTGTTTTTTTTTCTTTTCCCCTTAGGGAAAAAAAAGGTTTCATTTAAAAAGATTTTAAAAGCTTGGATGGAAAAAACATTTGGTACCTACTTCTGGTTCAAATCAAAAAATACATACATTTTAAAAATATTATACACATTTTATGATGGCCAATTAGATAAGGTGGGAATACAATTTTAAATTGAAATAAACAATTAATAATTAATATTATTGCTAATTGCATAAATGGAAATCCAAATGTATATATTAATTTTAATTTAAAATCATATACAAAAAAAGAACGATTTAGCTTCTCATCAGATCAAGTTCAAGCACAAAACTGCATTTTCCCAGTCCATAATTAACAGTTATGTCATGATCTCTTATTCCATCTGTTTTCACTTAACATATTTGCAAAACGTCTCTGAATATGACTAAACAAAAGTTATTTTTTGAATTGGTGGTGCTCGTGAAAACAAAACCAGATGTTTCTGTGAGAAGGAGTGGAACGGAATAAAATGTACACATTTAAATAAAATATATATCATAGTACTTTAGTAGGTGTGCGTGCATATGAATATGGAAATGGAAGGATTGTGTCACTCACTCATGGATGTTACATAAAGCTATTCAATTATACAGTTAATTAACACAACATGTAAATACAGTATTTTTGTACAAAATCATGTAGCATTAAAGATGAAAAAAATACAAAGCATTGAACACTAAAAAGGCTAATTACAAATGACTACATTCCTAGCAAGTGCCCTCATCAGAATGCAAACAGAAACGGCGTGGGTAAAGATGAAGAGAATCAGAGCACAGGAAATGTGCATGTCGATCAAGCCACTACGAGCAGCTGACTGACATTGTGTTTGTTAAAGCCCTGTGAGAAGTGAGAGCAAGCATGGCTTATTACCATGTAGCATCCAACACTAAGACTCAGCTTGAGGAAAGTGCGCTCTAACAGGCGCAAGACCCCCTCAGCCGAGCATTTCGGCTTATACACATCACTGCCCGGAACGAGCATCAGCAACCCAATGATGCCTCTGCCAGCAAATGACATTCCTTAATGATCGTTTGACTGTGATTGTCACATGCATCACTCTGTGCTCATGCAAATGTGCACTCCTGGCTGGCCAGTGGCAGATACTAATACTGCCCCACGCATGATTAAAGATGATGGATCTCCCTGGTTGATTACCACCACCACCAACATAAAAAAAAACAGAAAGACTGCCCACTGTAAATCTATTCGCCCTAAACGTCAGCCGGCGTGACTCACTCGCACTTATAAAAGGAGAATTAACGCAGGGAGATTAAGTTGAAGGAAATAACAGGGCGCCTCCTGTATATTACAATGGGCATTCAGTGCCCCCTGAGCTAGAACAACACATCCCTCATCAGGAACGGAGCAGAATTACAAGCACATGGAATTACTAAAGCAGCACTCCAAACTCTGACACAGCAGTAACCGACAGCAACCACCATTTAACCCAAATTACACGCACACTGCAAGCAACCACGGAGACGAGATAGTAAAACATGCACACGGCACGAGGGTTCATGCAATATTTTGGCAACTCGCTGATTGAAATATGACAGAGAGAGAGATGACATATTTAAAAATATTTACCAGAACATTTCCGTCCTCTGAACCGCCCTATTTCACTGTGTTTGAGCAAGCGTGTGCGAGCGCCTGCATGTGTCTGGGGTTGAGCTAGCCTCTTCTTGGAACGGGGAAAAAGCAGACGGGGGATAAGACAAGTGTGGTGTGTGTATGAAGCCGTGGCCCCGAGACGCATGACCCACCGTGATGTTTCGGGAGCCAGTCAGTGACCTTCCGCTCTTTCTGTGATTATTTCCCTCTGCCTTGTGCTCGGCTGGCCCCCAAAATTGTCCCCAAAAATGGTCACATTTGCACAAATAAAACTTGAGGTTTCGTTTTTTTGTCAATTCAATTCAAAATAATAAACACAAAACAATGCGTCTATGTAGATTGGATGTGCATTTATAGTTGGGAAGGGAGCAGAAATTGAAAAATCTAGAGGAAGAAAAAGCAGCCAGTCAAAATGGAGGTTTGCAGAAGGGAAGATATTTGCAGATACAAATATTCTCTTTTTTTCTCCAACCAGAGATTCTTCTCCTCCGCGGCACGGCGATTCTCATTTTCTGACAGACTGAATTACTATTCATTTACTTTCTTTTCTGATTATGTGCTGGACAGCGAAATTTGGGGGGCTGCGAATGCAAATTTTTTTTCTTCCCCCCTCTCATCTGACACCATGACAGCAGTCTCTGCCGTCACAAGGGCAAAGTGGGGAGAGGAGCAATCTAGCATCCAGGGATATGAATTTCTGATCAGTGGCGGGTCGGCTGCTCCTACCGCATGCGGGCTTACAGTAATCCCATTGGACAGCCGGCTCTGATGAAGACAGGGAGAGGGCCACCACAATGGAGGTGGCTTACAGTGGCAAGAATCTCACTGTAATTTAAAGTCACGCGTTTTGAGCACCGCAGATCGCGTAAGGAAGACCAACAAGGAGTG